CTTGCCGCTCACGACGATGTTGGCGGTCCTCTTTCATTTTCTGTTCGTCCGTCAAGCCAAACCGCACGTTAGAAGATTCCTTGCCTTTACGTCCTTGGCTAGCAATGATGCTGCCTGCCGCAAGTGCACCCGCACCAATCAGTGCCACGTCCTCCAAGCCGAAGTTGCCCCTCGCCGGGCTCGATGCAGTACGTCTGGGTTGTGGCCTCTCGTCGAAGAACGCGTCCTGAACGAAAGCTGGAGAGACGGGGGTAATTGGCTGAGGCTGTTGCAGAGGTGCGGGTCCAGGTCGAGCCATGGAGGGCTCATAAGAGCCAGGCATGGAATCATGTTGTGAGCCTGCCTCAGACACCGGTCTCGGGTCGATGTACTGCATAGGCTGCTGTGGTACACTTGGCATGGAGGCAATTGCGCTCTCGCGTTCAAACGCCCTCCCTGGGCCGTCGTGTGCCACACCTGCTACGGCGGCTGCGGCCAAGCCAGCATCGACCATCCCAAAAGAAGGACCGCTTTGTCTCGGAGGGTATGCTGGGTTCTGCGGTGACGGCGTGCGCCTCTTCCTTCTGTCTTTGCCACCCCACCTCCAGCCCCACGCGCTCAAGCCATCAGCAGAGGAGGCACTCTCGAAGCTCTGGCGATGCGGAAGCCGCGAGCCAGCACCAAAAGCAAGTGCAGAATGGGTGCTTGATGCGTCATCCGCATCGGAAGGGAGCTCGTCCTCCCACCCGTCTTCGTCTACTTGACCGTGACCGTGCTGACCCTCATACTGCACTCGCACGTCCCGCCGCGGGCCAAGCTCTGGTCGACTCGAGCTTGCATTAGGTCTCTGACCCTTCTGCGCGGCGGCTAACGCAGCAGCAGTGATACCAATTCCAGCTACAGTAGCGGCCAGGTGTTCGTCCGAACTTTTGCGCGCCGTCCGCCTTGAGCTCTTACGGCGTATCGGCAGGCTTGTCTTACTCGCGTGACCTCCACCGAACGCCATATCGTCATCAGATGATGCTGAAGAGCCGTTGCCGAGGCTGAAGAAACCTCTCTGCTTCTTGGGACGCTCACGGCCGTTACGTCGCTTACTTTCATTCTGCGAAGGAGAGAAGAAAGAGCCGAGCATGCCGACCTCCTCCTCAGAACCTCGACGCGAGCGTTGGGGGGCAGTGTAGTAGGAGCCATTCGGGGATCGCCGTGCGACGCGGGAGGGCTTCCGATTTGAAAAGCCAAAGATCTCGCCTAGGCCAGGGCTATTGCCACGAGATTCGCTGCCTGAGTGCCGCCGAACGAAAGCACCCTGTGATTGGCCATCGCGGCGTTGTCGGGTATCACGTTCCATAACGGACGCAGCAGTCGCGCCAATGGCGGCACCGGCAGCTACGCCCATCAGGCCGTCCCGTCGCTCTCGAGGGTCAAACCGCTCGCTCTGCGCGACCTGCCTCTCCTCAACTCTACCGTCCTTCGTACGAACCGTCACATATTCCTGCCTGGGTTCAACACGGATAACGCCATGCTCCGACCGCCTTCGGCGCTCACGCGAAGAGCTGCGGCTCCGCCTCCTCATTGCAGAGCTCGCGCGATGTCCAGACTTGACACTATACGTATCGTCGAAGTTCTTGCGATCGTTCAATAGCGCATTCGCACCGACTGCCATACCCGCAGCCGCCAAGCCCGCACCGACCATCTCCGCTTTGCCGTTCTGCCTTCGTTTGTCGCGATCGGAAGAGTTGTACCGGCTATCCTTGTCAACACGCCAGCGCAGACCCTCATTGCTACTCATTCTCTGTATGCGCTCATAGGACTTCCGCCGGCGTAGCTCCTCGAATGAATCCTGGGAAGGGCGGCGATGGAAATGATGTTGTCTCGGTCCGTCGTAGGGAGTACTTCTCGGGTCGAAGCAGTGTTTGCAAACTCCGATGTACTCAGTGTACTCTTCCATTCTACGGACATCTTCCGGGTTGGAGATGAGATTCAGAAAGCCGTCTTTAAGGCGCGTCATTGGCCCCCGGTGCTCGTGGAAATGATCTTGCTGCTGCGGTTGCGTTCTGCTACCGCCGTTCGCGTATGACCCATTTCCGGGTGGAAACGGGGGTCTTGGCCCGCGCTGCTCACTTCCGCCACCGCCGTAGTACGAAGTGGAGTTCATTCGTGAGGATGTCTCCTGATGGTGCTGTTCCATACCGTAGGCTGTGGCCCCAGCTGCCGCGGCGCCTGCTGCATAGAGTGGTACGTTAGTGTTAGTATTCGACGATTGCCTACCTGGAGTCCCTTGTTGCGACAATGGAGTCTGCTGCGGTGCTGGCGCGTAGTATGATCCCGCTGCACCCGGCGCAGTATACGAGCGACCCGGACTACGCGAACTTGTCGAAGCTTGTGGTCGTGAGTTCGCGGTGTTCTGTTGATACGACTTCGACGATTTCTGGTCATACGAACTGGTAGCTGCTTTGAGCACCCCAGCTGTGGCTGCCGCCGCCGCAGCTGTCGATGCCATTTCACCGAGCTTTGAAGGCCGGTCAGTACTGCCGGACGGGTCTCGACCGGACACAGGACCTTGTGTGCTGATTGTCATGGGCTCCACAGCTTCATGGTAGATTGAGCTAGCTTCACCACCGTAAAAGTCGGATGCTGACCCGTGCCCAGTATCTAGCGCCGTATGAGGCTCGGCACTCGCAGCATGGAGGTGTAGAGTGGGATTCACTAGCATATTTGGAGTTCCAGCACGGTGTCCGGGCTGGAAACCAACCGACTGTCCTTCGTCCATGTAGTACTCGGAAGCCTGCCCGTAGCTTTCCGCGCGTGTTGGGCCCAGCTGCGGTCTGGTGAATGTACGCGGAATCTGCGACGGAAACTGGTGCATCGGATCTGCGGACGGCAATGCACCAGACGCGGGCGAGTCAAACGACTGCGGTGGCCCCACAAGCGCAGCAGAGTATTGTCCGGGAAATTGCTCAAAGCTCCCCATGGCCGGTATGCCTCTCTCACCATTCGGCGCATCGCCAACGTCCCTAGTCCGCGACTTGCCTTGAGAGCGCTCGTCTCTGCCGCTATCCCGTTGACTCGTGCTCTCCCGCCGTCGCTCCTTCCCCTCGCGCGACCGACTGCGCTCCTTCTCACTGCGACTACTCTTGTGCCGGCGTTCGCTTCCCTCTCCGCGCCTGCTGCGTTTCTCACTCTTCCCACCGTCATCCTCCTCCCAACCCTCACCTTGACCTCCCAGGGAGCGCACGGCACTCTCCGTCAGCCCTCGTCCACTGCTGCTCCCAACCCGCGAACTCGGCGCAGTCGCATAGACTGAGCTTGAACTCCTTCCATCGTCCTCGCCATATGCGCTCCTGCTACTTTTATGGCCGCGTTCCCCCTCTTCGTCGCGGCGCGGTGTAGATGACAACCCTGCATCGCTCGCGCCTGCGCGACTACTACTGCTCTTTTTACGGCGCAGGCCGGAGGTGCTGCCGCTCTCGCTGCGGCCAGTGAAGGCTTTCCACATTGTATTGCTTTGTGGATATGTCGATGGTCCCGCTGCCTATCTCGAGATGTCGGAGTTGCGCGATCGCCTATATGTGCACGCTATCCTGTCGTCGAGCTATGTCCAGAAGATAGCTGTTGGTATACGATCGCCTCGTCGTCGGGAGTCGTTGATATAAGCTCGGTACGAATGTACAGTGTGGGATGTCGCGTATGTACTGCAAGCCAAGAAGGGCATCGTCGCCACACGGGAGAGGCACAGGATAGTGGGTTGCGCAATCGGAGTGGTGGGCTCTCATGCATGCGCTGTCCAACACCGATCCACACTCACTTCCCCGGGCGGTCTGATCGATGTCACGTGCTGGGGATGGCTGGGGGTTCACCGGCCTCCACCTCCTTCGGGCCACGCTAGCGGGGATGTTCCAGCTGGGAAGTCGATGCGCGCCGAGATGAGGGAACGACGAACAAGATCGGAACATCAACGACCATTCTGACCATGCGGCATCATTGAGAGGCGACAGTCCTGCGCAACAATCAACTAGCTGCTTCAGATGCTCGACACTGTCAGTCTCTCCAAGCGAACCCAGTAGCCGACGACCAACAGAGTCGAGGCCTTTCCAGGAAGCCACGTCAACCTTGAGTATCTCGACGATACAACGACCACAACCACTTTCCAAGACGTAATGGAGGACGCGCCTAAGGTATGGACTTGTTCGCCTTGCTAAGATCAATGCGAAGTCGCTGCAACGAATAGCAGTCATCTTGCATCAACCTGAACCTTCAGACCCGACCGACAGACGGCGTGGCGAATCGAGATAACATGGCCACCATACACTCCAGTATTCCTAGCCAGCGCCGCCCGCCTATAGAGTCAAACCTCCCCCTGGGGCTCAACGAGGTAGTGAATGCTGGACACGCCCGGACCAGTCTAACTTCAATGTCTCGCGCTTCCTTACTCAAATTGTCTTCAGCGAGCGGCCACGTTGAGTGATTGAACAACGCAATATTGCCTCATCTGCATGCAGCCCACCTTAGGCCACCAGCTCTGTCAAGGCTGCCCACAGACATCGCTCACAGTGATGTACAGCGTTTACTTCGGCCGGCGTCGCTTGTCGTCGGGAGAGACATCATCCGAACGTTTTATTGTATTCAAGCAACATTAGAACACATAGGCTGCTGAGACGGCGTGTGTGACATTATATCTCATTTGTGCTCTACATTCCGTCCCATCTTTCGGATATCGCCCCCTACTCGGTGGAACATGATTCGCCAACCACGAGACGCTTACGCACCCGGCAACTGTTATTTACGGCTGGTTCAACGATACATACGCAAGTGACCAGAGAGGGAACGTTGAAGTGGGAGCCTCCCGCCGTCGACAAAGATCGCTGCTAAGTCGAAGGTCGAGGTCTGGAAGCTGCATGTGAGGCGGGGCCAAGACTTTTCGCGGGGCTGCTCAGTCGCACGCACACTGCAGTCTGTTACACGCCGTCAAAAGAGAACCTGACGCTTCCTGCACACCAACCCGCATGGAATCAAAAATGTCGTGGATCTGCCAGGAATCGAACCAGGGACCGCCTCTAGTCCTCGCGCCTCATGAAGAGGTGCAGTGCTAAAGAGGAATTATACCACTAAACCACAAGCCCGCGAGCATATGTTTGGACGGTATATGTACAATATAATAGCCGCTACTTTTGCCGTGGAATGTACTAGCAGCACTCTTGCAAGACTGGCTTCGCGCGGCCATTTCTCAACACTTATCTGAAAGCAGGTGCGATGACTTGCTGCGGTATCTACCAGCCCCTATATCCCGCGTCCACTACGCTGCCAAGAAGCATCCCAGACTACCCAACTGAAGCCTGTGCCCTCGCCTAACACATCCATCAACAAGACTAATCTCGTTCTGCGGCTATTCGCCCGCCATCAGAGCAGGCCTTACTTATATAACGCAATCAGATTCAGTATTTCGGCCTCGACGGGATAGTCTTCAGATGGTCCGCAGGATTGCCTTCAATACCGAAAAGCTGATACAGCCACTTCAAAATGATGCCGAAGCTCTCGGGCTCACCCATGTGCTTCTTGCCCTTGACGAAACGGACGTCCTTCGGTGCCCCCCGAAGAAGACACTCGTAGTAGTCGTCGATCGGGAAGATCTCGTCGTCCACCCCGTTGACGAGGAGCAACTTGGTGCACTGCTGGCTGTCGAGCGTGCCATCCTCCAACAGCGAATACTTCATCGCCTCCTTCTTGAATGTTTCGAGGTCATCGCCGTACCCCCATTTGTATGCCAGTGTTGTGGCGAGGTCAAACGGGTACTCGAGATTGTTGACAGACGACAACCAGCGAGGGTCGAACATATGGTGGCAACCGCCGCCGAGCGCGACAACACCGGCCAGACGGTCGTGGTGGGTGTGTGCTAAGCGGATGCCGTAGTACCCTCCCGTGCTGACACTGAATACCGCGACTCGCTTATGGTCGACCTCGGACTGCTCGTCGAGCCAGTCGAACAGACTCGACCATTCCCGCTCGGGAGAGGTGGCGTCCTTTGGGTCAGCAGGGGAGTCGCCAGTGCCCGGTATCTCGAGCACGATGACACCGATATCGTTCTGCGAGAAGCCTTCAATCCAGACAGCGAGCTCCGTCCGATAGCCATCCAGACCGGTGAGGATTATCACAAGCGGGACGGGCTTCTCCTTGGTGGTTTCAGGCGGTATGTGGTAGTAAAAAGGTATTTGCTTGCCCTCGTGCTCCAAGCCGTGCTTGTGCGGGATGATGACTTCCTTCGTGGGCCGTTCACGCAGCGCTAGACCGTTGATGGCCGCCTTCTTGCCCTCCTTCCAAGCGTACCTCTGCTTCTCGGAGCGAGGGGCGGGGAATCGTGAGATCCGGTACACAGCTGAAGCACGCCTATGGGAATTAGTCTCACCATGCTAAACATGCACGACCTTCGACATACAAGTATAATTCCGAAGCCTTCTCCTTGTTGTCCTCCCGATCAGCCTTCTCGGCTCCCCCTAGCAGCTCCTCCGCCTTCGGAACTGTACACTATCAGATTGACCGGACACTTATGATGGTACATGTACTGCTAATTGAATACTCACAGAAGACCTGTGCATATGCGTCCCAGTCGTAAGGCTCTTTCTGCCCTTGCTGCAAATGAAAGTCAGCCCGTGCCGCTCGAACGACTTCACTCTAGGCGCTATTGAGTACCTTCGTCAACTCGTCAACGATTGGCAGAAAGTCCTCGTGCTTATTGAACATGAAAGGGTAAACACCCATCTCGCACTATCCCTCCTCGTCAATGGTCGCCATCAACAGAGACGATTCCTACGCACAGGCTTCCGCCATTTGGTCTCCCACAGTCTATCATCGCGTCAGCACAACGATTGTTAATGCGATTACTACGCCGATTCTCACTGCTTGAAGCTCTCATGATGCGGTGCCTTGGTTGACAGCTGCTCTTGGACGACTCCAGAAACGTCAGGTCGGCTTCACTAAAGTGGTGCTCTGCGCAGAAGCCTTCATCGTTCACATACTGCAAGAGCCGTCTTAATAATAGACTTCGCCTGCGGTTCCACACTTGACGGGTGGCTGCGGGCCCCTGAACTTACCAGAATTTGCCACCGGGAGCGGCCATCTTATAGAATGGGACTCGGTTTTGCGATGCTGGGGTCTCTCGTGAGGCTTGAAATGGAATTGAGAGCGCCTTTGTAGCCAAATGGCTCGGATGATGGGGATGAAGGCGACTCGGCCATAGCAGCCGCAGTCTTGCACGTCGTCGATTTGCCGTAGGAGCCGTTCTGTTGCGATATATTGCGACATGACGGTCGGGCGTCGGCACTAAAAAGAAACCCCAAAGCGGCAGTTATAGATCGCCGACGACCCTGAATCATGTCTGGTGCTTTCAGGCAGAAACTCCGCCGGCTTGGCATCCGAACAAACCTAAGGCTTCCATCTGAAGTGGACGGGATGTTTACCTCACCCATCACTCATATCAGTCGGCGAAAGTACGATAATGGCAACGAAGACTCCCACAGCAGCCATCTTCGACAGCTTGAAAGGCTCGTGGCGACTCCGTAGATCCCTAAAGAGCAATCTGCCACATTTTCCATCAGGTACCTTTGAGGGTGTCGCTACTTTCCAGTCACGCCAATCGTCGGCCAACAACGTGGCCAGCGAGCTCTTATATTCGGAACAAGGCGAGCTACGGACCGACAATGGCTTCGTACTGAAAGCCAACAGGAGTGCGTTTGCCTAGGAATTACTCTGGATCAATTCCTGACCTGCGCTCTCAGAGTATATATATCGATATGACGATAGTGAAGACAAGATCAGTGCTTGGTTCGTCACCGAGGATAGCAAGCAACTGGATGGTAGAGAGGAGGTAGATTACCTGTTCCATGACATAGAGACCGTTCATGCCGGATCTGGCTGGGTAGGCCAAGGCGAGCACCTTTGTGAGCTCGATATGTATTGGGCGTAAGTTCGTGTCCAGTATCCCATTTACTGACAGGGCTGATGAGATTGTTTTAGATACTATGAATTCCGGCTACCCAAGGTTATGGAACATGATCCGAAAATGGACGTCTTTGGGGTACGCTTCAAAGTCAAGGGACCGCAGAAGGACTACACGTACGCTGAGCCATCATTTTCTCTCAAATATCGTGTTTGCTCTTACACCCAGCACAGGACCGACACTGCCTACGAGCGCACCTTCTCCGCTGATCTCGCCGCACGTTGAACCCAGTGCCTAGGTGCAAGTGGTGAGCTATGTCAGGCTTTACTGCTGTAATGCCTCTCGTAGGGATAGAGGAAACGCCCAGCCATTCACGTTTCGCGCCACACGAGCATCCTGCACGGCATCATGAAACGACACTCCCGTTCACGCTTCGAGTATTCTCTGCTCCAGTCCGAAAGGCGCGAGCAAGACTTTCGGTATAAGCTCTTCGGCTACCTCGACGAGCCCACTCTTCGCCGCCTGCGCGCGGTATCGCCTGTCGTGCGGGACATGGTCGATTCCCGACCGGGCAGATTGTTCCACGACTTGTTCGTACATGCACCACTGGAAGAGGACCAACCAAACCGAGAGTTTGAGAGAGTGGCCAACTTCTGCCATAACCTTACCATCACGGTCAAGGAGCGATCCCCACCTAGCTTGGAACTGACAAAGGATTCAACGAGATTGCAGACTCTATCAAGGACCCCCTGGTGGCTACCGCCAGCCTCCATCGTCCAAAGCCACGCCTTCTACTGCACAAAACCCACCGCACGCCTATCCCTCCCCTTCGGCCTCCTCCCAGCCACGGAACGAATCGCGCAAACCCTAGCCAACAAGAAATGGACCTCCATCTTCACCCGCTGCCGCCAACTCCGCCACCTCACCCTCCACATCCACGGCGACCCCAGCTGGCCCGGCCGCACCGCAGTAGAAACCACCCTCGTCGCCCTCCGCCTCGCCCTCGAAACCTCGCGTCCCCCGAACCTTCGCGAGATAACCTACGACCCCATCCACGCAATGGGCATCATCCACCTCCGCTGGTCCGGCGCCCTCGCCCCCTTTGGCCCCGCTTCCCCACCCCTCCCCACGAACCCAACAACGACAATCTGGCAGAACCTCCAAACCCTAACCCTCCACCTCCTCAACCCTTTCCACCCCATCAGCGCCCTCACACCCCCGCAAACCCTCCTAGCGAAGAAATCCCTCCACGCTTTCCTCCGCTCCTTCACGCCCACCCTCCACACCCTCCGCTTCGTGTACCTCGACTCCGAGGGCCCCAGTCCTTTGACCTTGCACCTCGAGACCGGGTTAGTAGGGGAGCGGGAACCGCTACCCTGGAGGGCGTTGCGAGAGTTGTGGGTGGGTAATATGACGTCCCTGGGACGAACGCTGGAGAGTGCCGGGGAGGTCGCGCCGGGTCTGGAGGGGTTGTGGGTTTTGAGAAGTGGGCGGGGGAGGGTTGGGTTGGACTACGCGGATGAGGGGGCTTGGGTGGATCGTCTGCCTTCTGTGAAGGCGCGCGGGAAGGGGAAGGGCACGGGGGAGGGGGAGGGGGAGCAGCACGGCCATGTGCGCGCCGAGGATGCGGAGCCGGCGACGGCGGAAAGGGAGGCGAGTCTCCGTGGCCACAGCACCGGTTCCGACAGCGTGGCGGATGTGAGTGATGAGGATCTGGATGTTCTGGGTGGAGTGAGTAGGACGAGCAGGGATGTGCTGTGTATGCTTGACACGACGGGGGTTCCTGGGCAAGCGCTGGAGATGCGGAGGCGGATGGAGAGGAGGCGGGTGATGGATTCGGCCGTCCTGGGGCATAGACAGGGCTTGATATGATGGGTAGGGTGTATGTACGTGTTTGAGTATATAGGCGATGATGATATACGTAGGTTGTCTATCAGGGGTTTGAAGAGTCCCTCGCGCCTTCTATCACGCCCCCGTGCGTTGTTGAAGCAGCCCCTCATGTCAGGCGTCCATAGCATTGCGTTCCAGGCTGATCACCACCTCCCACGGCTTGATCGAGCACTCACTTCGTCTCGGGCGCGACCTGCTTGCTCTTCGGGTCGCTGGCCTGCATCATCATCAGTCAGACACTTCCTCCACGCTTCCCGAAGACGAAGACGGGGATTCCTAACTCACCTTCATCCCCTTCAA